AAATTCCAATCTACATCAGAGTGCTACCCCCAGAGTGATGTGCAGCATCCCTCTAACAGCAGCCAGAAAATCCCAACCATGTGCAGATAGCAATTTCAGGTACAAAAAGCCATTTTCCCTTTGGTCCACAAACATCAATGTTTCCAATGCCTGCCCTATCATCTGATGATGCTCCATTTGGTATGGGAAAATCCAAATTCTTGCTCATGTCCCACAAGGGCTTTCCCAACCTAGCCCCAAGACATTATGGCATCATCTCCTGCCACCGCCCTCACATCAGTGTTCCATCTTGCTGTACCCTTCATTTCTCTGGGCCTTAACATGCCAGCTTTCACAGCCTACAAAGTTCTTCTCCAATTCTCCTCCAGGCAAGCCCCCAGTGATTCTTTAAGACCCAGTTTAACTGGAAACCATCAGCAACACTTTCCCTAGTTCTTCAAGCCAGAGATGGGCACTGCCTAATCGATGACCCCAAAGAAACTGGCACATACATATTTTTTTTAAATAGCACTCATCACAGCCTATTTTACTTGTTTACATAGGCCCATCCCAAAGATTGCGTGGCTCCTAAGACAGTAAGGATAGCCGAAGTGAAATAGGAGGTGGGTATCAAAATCAGAGGTGACCCGGGAATGGTGCATCCAGAAGCACACTAAATTTTAAATTTGGTAAAGAACCAAAAGTACATATTCTTTTCAGTTTATAACACCAAGTTTAAAAAGTTCAGGTCATCAAAATCTTGAATGAACAGGATTCTCATAGGGGAAGCTGGGGTGAGACCATCTTTTGTGCTCATTTTTGGGTAAATAAAGGCCAAAGACCAAATATTACACATTGCTCATTCCTGGTATATACTAGGTACTAAGATACCTACAAATTGAATAACAATTTAAATGTTAAACTAAAAAAAATCTTAGATATTGTCTTGATGAAACAAGTTATTTCTTCCCAAAATGTATAACAGGTTCTGAACAGTTTTATATGGGTATAATGACAGTTACTCAAACTTTCTCAAGACTTAAATAAGATTCCTATACATAAAGGCGAAAATTGTAGAACATAATTATTTTTAAAGTTCCCTTATAAAGAGTAAAGAAATTTAATTATTGTGTGCCATATCTCCCATAATCCACCCCCACAAACAACACAGTTATGGCTTTGAACTCTTAGGCTCTTTCTATTCCTCCAAAACCAAAGTTGGCTATAAATAACATATTCATTACAGTTTTAGCCTTAATGGAACATGTGTCATTTGGACAAATCAGAAGCCGTGAAAAAATGATGGTTCCAGGCCATTTTATGCTCTCTGAAAGATTTCAGAGGTAAATACGTATACCACACATCAGACTCAGCTGGTGCTACCCGAAAATGCTACTGCTGTCTCTCACATTCCTGGGTTTATAATGAAGAAGGACTTACCCATAACTATTGTTCTCCTAGCTGTGCTTTTAATCCAGGATTGACTACGATCCAGCAAACAGGTAAATAATATTATGGCAAATCTCAAGGAAAAGTGAAACACTTTAATAGAAAGAACTAGTCAACTGTGGGAAGAAATAATGCATTTGACTTTACATACCATGGTATTTCTGTTAATGAGACTTGTTTATACTCTAGCACAACTACATTTCTGTCAAAGTCACCTGGTGATAGAATTTAAACCAACTTTTAAAAAAATGTTTAAACACAGGGCTTATTGATCAGGAATTCTTTCCTTCATAAAACAAGTATTACTAAGTGCCTACTAGGCATAGCCATCCCTCACTACACTTTGGGTATATCTGTGATCAAAACAGATCCCAGGCTTCATGGAGCTTACATTCTATGGGGAAGGAACAGACCATGCGTCTTACAATGAACCCAGTAACTTGTACTGCATAAAGGATGTCTAAGAACCTTTCATTGTGAAATGAAGTTTAAGTTTTCTAATACTGATGTCCTAGTCCTTTATGGACACAATGCCTGTCACTCAACAACTAGATCTCCCTGGTGAAATTCAAAGATACACCTCTTACAACGAACAGAAATAAGTTTAGGAATATGAACCACATCTCTCTACAAATAACTGTATTTCACATTTTCTCTTGAACTAGTGTCCCACAAGGCCTGTCCTATCTCTCAGAGAACAGTGTCCTGTTCTTCCATTCAAATGGAATACATCTCCCTGTCTCTGAAAGCCACGCACACAACATCTTGGCCAAGCACTGCACTAAATGCTGGAGATACAAAGTTGTGTAAGACACAGTCTTTACCCTTAAAGAGTTAACTTCAGAGTAATAGGAGGAAGAGGTAAAAGGAAGCTCAAGGTTTATGAGTGTGTAACTGAAGTATGCAGAGCATGCTGGGTGCACCCAGAGGAGAGGATGATTACCTCTGCCTGCAGAACACTGCTCTGGGTGGATGGATAAATGTGTGAAGGCAGAAAGGTCCAGTAACTTATATGGGCCAGGAAGCATAGGAGCCTGAGAGAGCAGTCAGAGAGGAAGTGATCCCAAGAAGCTAAATCCTGGAACAGGGGAGGCTGTGTCTGCACAGACACCAACACTGGAAGTTACGCCTCTCATGGGAAGAAATGGAAAGCAAAAGTGCAGGTGGCTTATGAGCGGACAAGTTGGAGTACTGGGCACACTGAGAACAGTGACTGGACCTCAAGGCACTGGTTAACTAATGGGAAAGCATCTGAAAAAAAAGCAAAGAGACCAAGCATCTCCAAAAGGCAAGGAGACCAACAGTGCTAAGAGAACCCAGACCCAAATCGCACTTGCATTCTCCCGGCAGACCACGCCAGTGAACATGCTGCCAACTAGTCACCCAAGGTTAAGAGCAGACCCTTCCATTCATATGCCAGTCTCAGTTCAGCAGTGTTCCCAAACCAAGCCCCAGGGGAAGTGCCACTGTGTGTACCTTCCACATGCGCACAAGCTGGATGAGATAAAGGGAGTTCCCTCCCCCATCCATGTTGAATGCCCATGAAACGCATGTCCCAGAACTCATCTGGACTCTGTTTTTAACCACAGTCATTATCCTCTGGAACTAGAATATCCACAGTAAGGAGACACTATGCCATGCAATTGTCCTACACATTATATACAGCATTCTGCAGCATAATCATCCATCCCCCCAGTTAGTCTTAGGAACTCCTCAAGGGCAGGGACTAGCTAATAGTAGGCACTCAATTAAGGGCTGACAAACAAATGAATGAATTAACCCACCCATTTTTTCCCATAGTTCCAAACTAGTATAACGGATAGAAAACGTACCAGTTGTTGCGATTTTTCATTCTAAATGATGGCAGCATGAAGCCTAATCAGCTAGCTTTTTGTAAGCATGACACCCATGACCCTACATACAGACACACAAAGTCAAATACTAGAATCAGAGGAGAGCAATTTTTAAAAAAACAGTTTTCCAGTCTCAGAAATTTGCTGAGTGAATGAGTGTGTCGGTTCAGAGTCCCACCCCACCCCCCAAACATGTACATCGCAGCTTTGAAAGAAACACTGTAAACCAAAATATTCTGAAACAAACAAACAAATGAACAAAAACCTTTCTGCAAAACTTCAAGAACTTGTCTTAAACCCTCATCTCCTCTAAATGACTATATAAATACGCAGTGCCCTGGCCAAGGCTGAAACAGAACATTAGGCAAAAACGGAAGAGAAAATTTTGTTTAAAAAGAGGGAAAAAAAAAAATCCCACACTGTTGAACCGAAAAGTAAATACTCATTTAGAGCAGATTCTGCTACTCCAGGTGGGTAAGGCTTGGGCCAGGCTACTGAGGCAAGCCTGAGACCAGCTTCAGGCATTTAATCTCGAGCATCCGGGTTGTACCTCCTCCCTGTGGTCTCTCCAGCAGTTGCCCTCTAGAGCCCGAACTACAGATGTTAAGCTTGGTGAAGAAGAGAGCTGACTTTCCTGATTAATAATAATAATAATATTTGTGTAGAGAAATGCAAACGTAGTAGTCCAGACTGACAGTTACTGAGCAAAGGCACTTCAAAAGTCAGCCCCTCTCTCTCCTACAGTGTGTGTGTGTGTGTGTGTGTGTGTGTTTGGGGGGCTGGGGTGGGAGGTCTCGCCATGGTGAGGAGAAGAAGAAAGTGCAAAAACTAATGTACCAGAGAACCACTCTTTCTGGAATTCATAGAGTCTGGCCTTTTATCCCTGGGCGCAAGCCCAAGACTGGGGACCCGGGTTTTGTCAGGGGCGCCTCCCCGCTGTCCTGCCCTGGGTTGCTCCACATGAGCAGAGAGAGACAGGAGGCAGGCCCCTCTGACACCTACTTAACCGAGGCAGATGGAGAGGAGAAGTGTGTGGGATGCCTTTACTTCCCCCTGAGGAGGCGCCCAGCAGGAGCCCACAGAGCCAGCAGCTCCAAAATCGGATTTCCACACATACCCCCACCCCAGAACACCTTGCCCCTCTGGCAGGAGGAAACGGAGCATTAAGCAAGTGCGGCTCTGGTGTCTGAAGGGGCTTTAGAAGACCTAAAGAAAGAAGCCTTCTTCCAGGATTCTGTACTTTTTCCAAACCTCTAGAGAAGTAGCCAAGTTGGGAAACAATTCCTCCCTCACTGACCCAAAGAGGGCAAGGGTGTTACTTTGAGGAGGACACAATCAGTGTCTGCAAGACGTCCTGAGCTACAGACACATACTTTATTAATAATCTTACATACACAAAATGTCCAAGGGAAAGCCTAACAGGCTAGTTTCTGACAGCTCCAGATAACAGCAGGAGGAACTGAAGCCATGCTGACTCCACAGAAGCAATGATCCCTTTCCCACCCAAGGGATGTGATGCAAATAAATAAAGACAATTATCTGCAGAACTTAAAGTGCAAGAACAACACTGTGAAGTCCTTCTCCCCAAGTGCAGTGACTTGTGGGAAACAGATAGGAAAAATAAAAAGAACAGCTGGAAAATTTAATTGCAGGGGAACAACGCAAAGGCTGACACTGTTTCACAGAACTAGCCAATAGCCAATAGCCACTGTCCCTTACCTTAAGATACAGAAGCAGCTCTTCGCTCCTGAAGATAAGCGGCAGAACCCGAATCTCTGTTTGCTGTCAATGTCAGTGAGCACGAACGTGAAGTTCTGGCCAACTTGGCTAACTGTGAGGCTGCAGCAAAGACAGAACAAAGGGGGAAAAATGAATGTGCACTAAGTTTCTTGATAAAGTATCTAATCATGACAAGTCATTGAACCTGTAACACTTCCTTTCTCAGTGGAACTCTTTATAAATGAACTCAAAATTTACACCCTTCAAGGGAACAGACTGCGAGCTAGTAAAACAAAAAAACAAAAAAACCCAGCAAGCAGCCCATTCTAGTGACCACCTCACTACCAAAGTAGCTACCAAACCTTCCACTTACTGAGTTCAGGCAGGTAGCCCTGTTAATCATCTCATCAAATCCTGAAAGGTGCATCCTATTAACCTCATTTTATAGATAGTGACCACCTCATCGGAGCTACCATGCCTTCCATTTATGGAGTTCAGGCAGGTATAGCCCTGTTAATCATCCCACCAAATACTGAAAGGAGGATTCTATTAACCTCATTTTATAGATGAGGAAATAGCCTAGAAGCAGCATTGCCTAAGGTGCCAGCCAGTGAGCTGCAAAGAGCTGTGTTTTAAACCCAGGTCTTTATGATGCCAAAGCCTGCTCTGTCAGCTTGCTGTTAACGACGCTCCCCTGACCATTCCCCTGGCTGGCAAAACCAGTAATGGCAACAGAATTTAAGTGTCCCCCGGGTGCCAGGCATCAAGTTAGAAACTTGATATATAGCATCTCACTCATATCAACCCTGGAATTTAGACGCTGTTCCCATTTTACAGAAAAGGAAACAGAAGGACTGAACAGATAGGTAACTGAATCATGTTCACAGAGCTTCTAAGGGGAGTTGCTGAATTCAAGAGAGCAAGGTTAGCCGCTACTTTCCTACATTCCTGTATCTTTCAGAATTTTTGAGTTTATGAGGGACATATATTTTACAGACAGAAATACAATGCGAGGTGCTAAGAAATGGAAACAGGCTTTAAAGAAATAAAGGCGAAAAAAAAAGCTAAAAATTCCCACATCAACGCAAAATTCAGTACACCACACATAAAAGTGACAGAAAATAGGAAATACGTTTCAAACGATTAAAAAGCATATTGCTAGTCAGATTAATCTAGAAACTCTTTTTTGCAGTTGCAAAATGTTTTAAAGACCACTCTCTAAAATCAGTTTACAAAAAAAAAAAAAATCACTTTACCACTTAGCTTGGATTCCTTTTTAAAACCTTAAATATTTCAAATCCTAATACATAAATTTATGCTAACATAATATTCTGGAATTTGACATTGAATTATTCAAAGGAACTCATTAACCTATATTGTATTTTACATGCATTGTATTTTACAAAATACACTCAAATTGACAAAATATTCAAATCAGTGCTCTCACCTATCATTTACTTTATAAGTTGCCAGCAGAAATGAAAATCATTCACCAGGCCTTTTCCAAAGGCAGGCTTATTGAGTCTTTGGATAGGATATGAATTAGTTTTTCAAATATGGATAGCCTTCCTTTCTAAAACTCCTTTATACAAACCACATAATCAAATGAAAATTAAGGAGACTTTCAAGGTATCCCAGCACAAAAAAGGTCAAAGGACCCTACCTGGTCATGTTTAAGGAAACAATTCCATCCCCTAGAGAGTGGTTAGAGAGTACAAGAAAATAATTCCGAAAGAAAAGAAAGTGTTCCACTCTCCTTTTTTAACTAGGAAGGTGAGCGAAAACAAGGTGGCAATTTAAAAGCAGTGTGGTAATAAAACAGGTGTAAGTAATGCTATCCCTCCACCTTACACAAGCCAGAAGAAGGAACACATTTCTATAAAAGTTATAGAGCTGTCCAGGGGACACCAAACTCTACCTTCTTACGGCTGTTATGTTTTATCAATAAAGCTTGGATACTGTGTTACTATGGTGATTTAATACTATGTTTTAAAGGGGGATTATATGATTAATTTTAACAAGGTTGAGAACTGAAGATGTGTGAGAAACAGGATTCTAGCTCACATAATTAAAGTGATTGGGGAGAAAAGTGGGCCTCACTGCGGGAGGAGAAAAACTTGAATTATTAAAATATTAAAAGCAACAGGTCACGATGATGCTAAGTTACAAATAGGCCATGCTTTTATGAAATACTATTATGTGATCATACAAAATATGACTGTTCATTATTTTAACTCAGAGTGTGATTTCCCTTCTAGAATTTTTAAAATGAAACATCCTAGAAGGAAAGGGTATTGATAGGACTGAATGAAAACACCCAGGATCTCTAGGAAAAGGACACAGAATGAACACAACTCGTTTGTGAATTGAGTGTCATTAATTTCCCCATTATCTTTTCACTACCATTAAAAATGCTGAAAATGCTTTTAGCGACATCCTAGGCTCAAAGAAAGATTCATTACTCATTTACTTGGTTCATATCCCAACTCAATCACTTGCTCACTGGGCCTTCATTTAGCAAGTTACTTAACCTTTAAGCACCTCAGTCTCTTTACCTGCAATAACAATGAGAAACTACCACCCAACCCAAAGGAGGTTTTGGGAATAAGTGAGATAAGCCTTTACTATAAAGGTCAGTCCATAATAAAAACAATTAATAAAAGAGATGCAAGCTGTTAAGTTACCATCTAAAGGAAAACAAAAATTCATATTAAAATCAAGCATTTGCTCAGACTCTTCCCGACTAACTCATTTTTGTAATCCTTATGAGTAGAGAAAGGAAGTTTGCCTTTCTCTCTTCTCTGTTGCATCTTTTCAGTAAAGGACAGTCCTCCGGGTGACCAAGTAAGCTGCTCATACTCTCAGTAAAGGGAACATGATTCTTTTGGGCGGGGGTGGGGAATCACAGCTTAGGAGAGAGCACTTGTTATTCTCAGTTGATTCACCTTTTTAATTCTTAATAGGGTGAAGTACAAGCCATTTAAACAAACAAACAAACAAAGGAGGCCCCAAACCATCAAACTCTGAAATCTTTTCTCCTTGGACAATTTTCAATCAACTACAAGTCAGGCAAGGGCAGTCAGAGGTTAACTTGAAGGCGTCTGAACCTCCAAGGAATCTGTCATTCCCTCTCTGCTTGCTGCCGTGCTCTGGGACAGTGTTCATGCTTCCTCCACAAAAATGAGTTTGGGGAAGGGTCTGCTTTGTTAAAGGCTACAGTCTTAATGCTTACCTCCAGTATTAGAATCCATAACTTTTTAACAGGAATCAGAGATTTCACGATGATTAAAACTGAGAGGAACTGCAGAAAACATCTCGCTTTAAGATGGGAAAACTGAGGCACAGGGATGTTTTTGGTTTTGTTTTTTTCAAAGTATCAGGACTAACACAAAATTCCAAGCCCAATTCCAGTTCAAAGTCCTCTCCGTTTTACCAGGCTACACTAAACACAAGGAAACCCTTCCCTCACCTGCAGCTTGTCTGTTAAAGGAACTCAAGTATGTGAGGAATCCAGGTAACTGTCTTACCAAACACACCACTTCCCACTAAGCAAGAGAAACCAAATTTGCCCAGGAGACCAGGGCCAAGACCACCCTTAGCTGTGCTTCCAAGGCCTAGATGAATATGGAAAACAAGGGAGAAAAGCAACAAATATTCAAACCAGACTTTAACATTCATGCTGACTTGCCTGTGAGCCATTTAAGGCTCCTCCGGCAGCATTTTGCTTAATCTCGAAGTTACTTACAGATTGAGTGTATAAATTGCATGAAGCATGTCAACAGACAGTGTGATTCCAATCTTCCAGTGAGAGATGGGATTATCCATATTAGCCTTTTAGTTGAGTTGTCCACCTTGTAAACCGAGCAACTACTACACTGGGCACCAGAACAAGTATTGGCCAGCCATCCTGCTATGGAGATTTCCTGCACGTGGGAGAGGAATAATAAACAAGTGTACCACACAGCATACGGCTGCATGTACCAGTGTTTTATGAAACCAAAGCAAGAACAAAGATAGAAGCAAATGGAAGAGAAGGCAAGGCCCTACTCAGATAACAAGGTTCGAGACAGCTTTTCAAAGGTGACAATGATTCTCACCCTGAAGGATGAGGTGGAGTAACCCCTTCAGAAGCAGGGCCTGGGTGTTTCAGGCAGAGGAAAGGGCTAGGGAAAGAGTCTCAGGCTGGAAAGAGCTAGGCATGTTCAAGGAACTCAATGGACACCAGTGCAGTTAACATACAGGAGCTAAAGGGAAAGTGGCATGATATGAAGTTGCTAGATAAAGCACAGAAAGCCTCACAGGTCATGGCAAAGATTTAGGACTTTTTTTGTAAAGGTGATGGAAAGCCACTGAATGGTTTTCATCAAGAGAAAAACAGTCTAGTGTACAAGGGTAAATGTTATGTGGAGAACAGTTTGGAAGAAGTACATGCAAAGAAAGTAATCAGGAAGCTAGTGTACGAGTCCAGGTGAGACTGGAGGCCTAACTCATGTAGAGAGAGTGAAAATGGATCTGGGTGGACAGTTCCAAGTTATAGCTAGCTGGTGTAAATGACAGGCTTGCAGATGTACTGAGAGTAAAAAGACAGCAAATTACCATTTTATGATAGAAAAGACAAGTTTGGGGGGAGATCTAAGAGTTCCATTCAGGATATGTTAAGTCTGAGAAACCTTAAAATAGAAATGTCAAGTACATGTTGAACATACTACTTAGGAAATCAGAGGAAAAAGTTTGGCCTGGAGCTATAAATTGAAGTCATCTACACACAGACGTATTTAATGCCACGGTAAAGAACAAGGTCACTTACGGAGAGCATTCAGAGAAACAAAAGAGGATCCAGGATGAGGTTACAGAAGCACCCATTTAGAGAATGCAGGGAGAAAAGACCATCAAAGGAAAAATGGAGAACAAGCAGGAGGGACTGGACAACTGTACCCATGAATCACGATGAGAGAGAAAAAATGTTTAGTGAACTGAGCAGTATCGAGGTTGCAGATAACCTTGATTAAGAAAAGCTCTAGTTGAATGACAGAAGCAGAAGACAGACTGAAGAGGGCTGTGGGATAAACTGAAGTGTGCAGCTAACTCTTCCAAGAAGAGACAATGAGGCAATCCTTGAA